TTTGCCAAGCCCCACCCCACCCCTCCTCATCCCCTTTTAATCCTCAACAGTATAAAAAAGTTGTGTGCATGCCTGTGGTGGCCAGAAGACAACCCAGGTGTCATCCTTAGGACATCCATCTACCCCGCACCAGCCCAGAGCAGCCACAAGGCAAGCTCTTAACCAACTGAGCTATCTCCCCAGCCCCCATTAATCCTCAACTCTTAAAATCCCATGTGGTTCCCTACCACTTTATCAGACACAATTTATCCCCATTTCATAAGTGTAAGACGGAATTTGGGAGAACCCAGCTCTGTGTTGGGCCTCTGTTTCTACTTGTTTTGCATCAACGAATGACCTCATTTGTGGAGACTGGAGGGACCTACCTATCTACCTCTCTATCCTACCCACTTGTCCAGAGAAATAGGTCGGTCTTGTATCCCAGGTAAAAGTGACTTATTTTCTCTGTAATGAAGTATTTTTCAATTGGCAAGTATTAACTATTGCTTCCCACTTTAAAAATTTGACTTATAAGTTACCTACAAGAAAATGCCCAGATTCTGTACTCTCCATGGAGTTATAACAAATGTGTACAACCAAAGACATATAGATCATATTCACTACCTTAGCCTACTCCTTTTAGAAAGAATTGAGTGACTGATACTTCTGATACTTTAGTCTGACTTTTAGGATAGTCAATTAATAGTTCAATATTTCAGAGTAGCTGAAATATATGTTTGGTATGTGGAATAAGTTTCTGTTTTGTGTCTCAAGAATGAGCTTAATTGGAGAAGTGTTATTGAAATTATCACATGTCATTTTTGTGATGCACAATATGTCCTTTAAAAAGTACTGAGGTAACCATCAAAATCATTTATATCAGATGTTTTCATCCTGCCAATATTTATCTATAGCAAATATGGATGATGACTACTGAATACTGTAACATAGCTTGATGGTAGCTCTGCAATCCAAACTTCTTTTTCTTTTTTGACAGGTTAGAGTCATCATCCATGCTGGGGGGGGGGCGCTTTTTGGTGATGCAGCTGCTTTTGAATCATCCCTGATTCTTTTAAGTAACCCCTCACCCATACTCCTGCTGGTAACCCCCCCCCCCGGGGGGTGGGAAAAACAATGGCTCATCAAGTTGGACATTGATGCAATTGTTACTTTGGTTGTTGTGTTGTGTCTCCACAGGAAAAGTCTGTGACAACACTTTTTACTGGGACAGTAACCTAACAGAACCAAAGATGAGTTGGGGAGGCATGATGCTATGGTCTTGGCTACAGGGTAGCAAGGCATGCAACTGAGGCTGAGCAGCCTGAGGGGAAAACCTCCATAGAGGAAATTCCAGTATAGCTGTCCTTTTCCATATGACATTTGTTAATGTGCCTTTTTGCTATGCTATTGAGAGACTAGTAGTTAGAGTCTGTTAAGTAGACAGATAGGGAGAAGGGCCATGGCTAGGTAATAAAGGCAGTGAATTTTCAAGACAGCCAGCTTTGCCCTCGCTTTCCTGACTTGAGACAAAAGCTTGGCAGCTTCAAATAAAGGTTTTGTAGACTTTTGTCTCCTATCAGTAGGCCCCGCTAATGAACCTGCTCAACAAGGTCAAGGCGTGCTCAGGACATGTTGCACAACAGTTCTGGGCCAACCAACCAGCCCTGAATTAGGAGAGGAAATCTCTTGAGAAACTTTAAAACACCCAGCTCTCTAGAAGAGACAGGATTTTTTGTGTGTGTGTGCGCTGAGTCCCCCCATCTGCCTCTCTGAGTGTCTGCTGCACATGTCTCCTCACCCCCAATAAACACCTTCCTTCAACTGCTGTTTCTGTCTGCAGTGCTTGAGATTTCTCTGCCATCACCTGTTGAGCTTCAGATTTTCTTGCCTCTCTGTTCGTTAACTGGTAGAGAAAACAAACCCCATCAGCACCCCTAGACTGCATCTCAAGTGATTAGATGGCTTTTTTCTGTGGGTAATGAGATGTGCAAGCAAGGCTGAGCCATCAGGATCTGGAACGTCTGCAGGGGGACTCTTAGCATGGTGACCTTTTTAAGCCCTGTATGTGATAGTGTGTCTTCTTGCTACATCAGTGATTACACAGCCCTTCCAGCAAGTGCTGAGACACACAACCAAGGATGAATTCTCTATGGAGAAGAAAAACCTGGGTGGGCAGTCTGTGGGAGAAATACCAGTGAGGCTGCCTTTCTCTGTGGAGTATGCGATGGCACTCCTATTTGTGGCAGTCCTTCCCTTTGCTGTGCAGAAGCCCTTTACTTTCATGTAATTAATAAATAATTAACTGGATTAATTTCATGTAATTCAATTTGTAAATTCTTGGGTTGATTTCTTGTGTAGTCCAGTTCAGAAAATCCTTACCTTTGCATACATCAACGAAGTGTTTTACCTCTGATTTCCTCTAGCAATGTAAAGATTTCAAGTCTTACATTAAGAGCTTTGATCTACTTTGAATTGGTTTTTATGCAGAGTGAGAAATATGGACCTAGTTTCATCTGTTTACTTGTGGAAATCCAGTTTTCTCAGCACCGTTTTTGTTTGTTTGTTTTGTTGTTTTTTTCTAGATAATGTTTCTTTGTGTAACACTGGCTGTCCTGGAACTTGCTCTGTAGACCAGACTGGCCTTGAACTCAGAGATCTGCCTGCCTCTGCCTCGAAAGTGCTGGGCTTAAAGGTGTGTGCCACCACCACCCAGCTCAGCACCATTTGTGGAAGAGACTATCTTTGCTTCAAGTTATGCTGTAACTGTGGGTTTCTTCCTAGGTTATCTGTTCTCGTCATTGGTCTGCATGTCTGCCTTTGTGCTCACACCACACTGTGTTTACTATTGTGGCTCTGTACTGTAATTTGAGATTAGATATTGTGATACCTCCAGCATTGCTCTTTTTACTTTAAAGTGTTGCTTTCTGTGTTTCTTTGTGAATTTTAGGACTTTTACCTAATTCTGTGGAGTAGTCATTGGGCACTGGATAGGAGTACAATGAATTCGTTGATCATTTTTGGTGACATGGCCATTTTCACAAGGAGATCTGCCTATCCATGAGCACGAGCAGTCTTTCTGTCTTCCAGTGTCTTGAGATTTTTATCCTAGAGTTCCTTCAGTTTTAGTTCCTTGGTTAGGTTTTCTCCTAGGCATTTTATTTTACTTTATTTGAAGCTGTTGCAAATAGGGATATTTCCCCCATCAAATGATATTTTCCTAACTATTAAATGATAAATATGTCAAAGCTTGGAGTCTAAACATAAAGAAGGAACCATGGTATTTCTCATCAATGAGGGACTTTTATCAACAGATCGGAGAGTGCTACATGTGACTAACAGGTGGTTTTGGTTTCATTTTAGTATTCGATCCAAAAGGATCATTCACTCATTATCCTTGTGTTCAGTGAAGAAATAAAATCCTACGGTGAAGATTTCGAAGAAGGGACATTGACAAGTAAGTCTAGTGTTACATGAATTAAGTATGGGCGATTTAAGTGAAACTTCCCTGGTTTTAATTCTTTTAAATATATGCTTTATTGCAGAGTGATCCTGTCCTAGGGCAAAGGTTATGTATTTTGGCTGGCAGCCAGCTAGTCATACAACTGGGTGATAAGCTCGTAAGTAGAAGCCACATTTCGTAGGTAATATTGTTTTTACTCAGGTGGTATTGGAACAGTGATCAACTATGGAGGTAAAGATGGGCTATCTGTAATATAAGTTAGAAAAGTATCATTATTCAGAAACTTGTGGGATGTGTTTATGATGTCTGCATTGTCTATCAGCTTGCTATGTGATTTGCTTCCTGTTGGAATCCTGTTCTATCTGACTGAATCAATAATATAGACATTGTTAACAAATCTATTAAGTAACATTCTAGCAGTAATACAGTTTTTGTTTCATAGAAATGACTGTACCTTGTAAAATTAACGAAACCTGTTAGGGTGTTACTTATGTCAGGTAAAGGGAGTTCTCTTTAGGGATGGGCTGAGAAATACATACATACAGACTGCTTAGTGTAATAATCTATAACTGAGTAAGTTACGTTAAAAAATTCTGTGTGACATTTCAGCTCAACCATTGAATTTTGGTCAACCTTTAATATTCTGAAATCATCTGATTATAGTTTTGCTAGAAGAGTCTGGAAAATGAATTTAAGATTTTTATTCTTGTTTCATAAGTAGAGTATAATTTCTTCTAGGATTATTTGGTAGACTTTTAAACAAAATTTATATAATTAGGAAATGATATGAAACAGTAGGTACTCGTTTGTGTGTGTGTGTGTTCATTTTTGTAATTCTTTCATTTCCTTCCTTATAGAGTGCTAAGTGTTTATAAAGTGTAGTATACTACTTCCTCAGGTTCATATGTAGAACACCACAGACTCATTGGATTACAATTCGTTTAATCACACCTTTAGAGACCAAAGTCCAAGATGAGGGAGCTGGCAGGGGTGGTTTCTGCAAATGGCTGTCTCCTTGCTTTATCCTCCATCCTTACATGGCCTTTCCTCTGCTGTCTTTTCCCTCCCCTGCCCCCCTCTCCCTTTCTCCCCAACTCCTTTTGGAGGCAGTGTGTTTCAA